CTCACCTGGACACTAACATTCTGCTGTTTCAGGTGAATTCCTCCTGAGCAGCAGAACTTTCCAGATAAACTGACCTCCGCCGGTTCTGTTACATTTAATCCGGTGCCGCTGAACCGAACACAAACGGAACATTTTAAAAGCGTGTCGGGGGAGTTGTTACCGTGTTTGTCCCGGTTCCGACTGTGGTTTAGAACTGCACCGCTGCTGTCCGGTCCTGCTAGCAAAACAAACCGCCTCCTGCTTCTTCTTCTTCTACGGTTTCTGCTGCTGCCTCCTTCTTCTTCTTCTACGGTGTCTGCTGCTGCTGTCTCCCACTTCTTCTTCTTCTACGGTTTCTGCTGCTGCCTCCGCTTCTGTCAAAATGGCGGTCTTTCCCGCCACCTGCTGGTCCAGACCGGAAGTTTCTGCTTCTTTTCCTTCATGAAATCACAACAATATCTGATATTTGGCTGCATTTATGTAATTATAGCATCTACGATGTTTTAAATCAAGTCTAAATATACAATAATAATTAAAATATAGAAATATGAAATTAGTGAATACCTGTCTGTTCTGGTTTTATCTGTGTGTGTGTGTGTGTGTGTGTGTGTGTGTGTGTGTGTTGACTGTGTGTCAGAACAACTTCTAATAATAATTAATAAGCACAGCTGTGTGTATGGCTGCTGCTAGGAGCTTCTTTATGAAGCTAATTTAACATTATTAGTGTGAAAGTCGCAAAACTGAAAAAATAAATAAATATGAAGACGGTCAAACCCAAAGACACGCAAACGTTTCCCCAAGGCTCCCAAAAACACACCAAGCAGTCACAAAGAGGTGCAAAGTGAGCACAAAGTGACGCACAGCAACGACAAAGAACACAAAATGACCTCATAGAAAAAAGTCCTACAAACACAAAATGAATTACAACCGCAAAAAGACACTAAAAACACACAAAAACAGCAAAAAATAAAATCAGCACAGACACAAAACGAAAACAAAGAGACACGAAACATCTGCAAACACACACAAGATTACATTAAAACACACAAAATGACAACAAAACAAATACACACTCCCAGACGGCGACTAAAACACCTCAAAGAAACACAGAACCACAACAAGGAGACACAAAAGGACCATGAAGATGCAGAATCATGAGGCCTAAAAGCTTCATGCTGAGACGCAAACACACAAAACCACCACAAAGAGACACAAAACCACCACAAAGAGACACAAAACCACCACAAAGACACACAAAACCACCACAAAGAGACACAAAAC